AGTTGACATGAACATCATTTTGACTCCTTCTGGACAGTTTGCTTCAAGGTCAGTGAGAAGATGCGATACGCCTTGGAGGAAAGATGTCATTTTAGCTTTGAAGTCAAGTCCAAGGTTGAAGCAGAAGGGTCCGAAAACACCTGGTGGTCTAGGCACGCCTCTCCCCGTTGTCTTCGAGCATGTGGGACATCGTGAACCTCGGGAAGGAGAGATGGTTTTGGATAGAGATGAGGAAGATGTGAAAGATGCTGAATCGTCAGGATATGCGCCGACATCCCCTGGCGAACGTGCTCCTCTTACTCCACCTTTGTTGAATCCAGAGGTGATGGCAGAAATGAACAAATCTAGTTCTTTGATTGATGAGATCGACATGGATGTGAACACCAGTTCAAAGCGGTCCTCAGGTGAGTTGGCTGGCGAAGAATCTCCTCGGAGCAAAGCACCCCGAGGTGAAGGTCCGAGTGGAAGTCCTTCTAGTGGAGTTCATGATCGTTTGTATGCACAGTATTTTGCTGGCCAGGTTGAAATGAAACCGCATGATGACGAAGTTTGGGACATAGAGGTTGAGCAGCATTTGACAGAAGAAGATTTTGATTTTGACCCCGAGTTGTTTCAGGATGACATTGATTTTGAGGGTGAACGACCACCCGATATTTCGGCAGAAGAGCTACAGAAGTTGGACGATCAGGCCATGATTGACGAAGTTTCGAAGTTGAAGAGTCTTGGAGTGGCTGAAGAAGTGAAAGTAGGAGAAGTGAACTTTCAGGAGACGAAGTTCATTGATTTGAAAGAGGTGTAAGATTGGAGACATCGACAAGGAGCTTGGAAAAGACGTTGCAGGATAGTTGCACGAGAGTTCAGGGCTGGAGCGCATTCTGACCAGGAGACATTTTCACCGACAACCGCGACTTCAGTAGTGAGGCTGTTCTTTGTCTTGCATTTGAATTTTCGTTGGAAACTTCTCAGCCTAGATATCAGTGATGCTTATTTGACGGTCGATCAGGTTGAGGAATGCATCGTAGAACTGAGGCCTTGGATCAAGTCAGTTTTGCAAGTTTCAGATGATACAGTTTGGAGATTGAAGAAAGTGTTGCCCGGACAACGGAATGGAGCATAGAGATGGTTTTCTTCTTTCTCGCAGGTGTTGAGTGAGCTTGGATTCGAATCTTGCTTAGCTATGCCCTCGGTGTTTCGACATACAACAAAGCAAGCAGCAATCAACATGCGTGTAGACGACATTCTAGTTGCTGTAAAAGATCCCTGAGACGGAGAGTGGCTTTTGCAAGCATTGAAGGCAAGGTACAAGCTTCAGGCTGAAGGTCCGGTTCCTTTGGGCAGTGTAGGACCTGGAGAGGAAATCAGTTATTTGAAGAAGAAGTACAAATTCACTCCTGAAGGAATTTTCGTGAAACCCAATGAAAAATACTTTGATGCATTGATCAAACTATATGGACTAGAAAACAAGCGATCCAAAGCAACACCGGATCATCAGCTGTTGGGACAAGTGGATTGCAGCGAGAGCCTCGAAGACATCGAGCCAGAGCGGAGAAAATCTTTTCGCAGTGGTTTGGGAACTTTGATGTACATTGCTCAAGAGCGAATCGATTGTCAGTTTGCAATCAGGTCTTTGGCGTCTTGGCTTTCGGCCCCAACGGTGAACGCAGAACATTGTTTGATTCATCTGATTTTGTATTTGGAAGGGAACAAGAAACCTCACCTTTCTCATGGGCTATGAAGCCCCAGGAAACTCAATGACATGGAAACTGAACAATGTCCCAGGAGAAGGTGAACAGGAAAGCAGTGGCAGAACACATTTGTTCGAATTGTTTACAGACTCGGATTGGGCTGGCAGTGCACATTCCCGCAAAAGCACATCCGCTGGCATATTGTGTTTGAACAGCATTGTAATGCACAGTCATTCTAGGACCCAAAAAAGCATAGCACTTTCATCTTGCGAAGCCGAGCTTTTGGCGTTGATAGGAGGATTGAGCGAAACGCTTTTGGTGAAACAGGTTTGGGAGTTCTTGGTGAAAGATGTTGCCAGGATTTGTATTCGAGCCGATTCATCTTCAGCAAGGCAATGGTTGCAACGTAGTGGAGTTGGCAGATTGAAACATTATCAAGTGAGACTGTTGTGGACACAGAAACTCATACAAGATGGTTCTGTTGATATCAAACCTATATCCACGAAACTCAACATTGCAGACCTCAACACGAAGAAACTCAGTGTAAGTCGAAGACATTTCCTTCTATTCTTCTTGCAAACGGTCTTAGTGACTGAAGGTTTTGAGATTGAAACGAGAATTGGATCTAGAGAGTTTTTCGAGCATTGCAATAGCAAGTTGATGATCCAAACAGTACAAACAGCATTTGCGCGAAGATTCAATCGATACAACCTTGGTACATTGATGACCATTGGTTTAGGACTTCAGGGTTGCAATCAGTCTGAAAGAGAAGTGAGTGGAATCATTTCTTTATTCTTCGTGGCAGGCATTTGTGTGGCATTCGTTTCACCGGTGATTTTCCTTGTACGAAGCTGGAGCATGAACACAGGCGGGGAACCTATCCCCGTACAAGCTGACGAACCGGAAGCATTTGCAGAAGGGCCAATCGAACAGGATTTGAGGCTTGGTTTGAATTGGATTGAGAATGAGCTTCGAAAGAGGCATGAGGATTACGCAGTGCAATTTGATTTGCAGGAGAAACGACGTATGGTGATAGCATTGGTGAGCATGGCAGTTCAGTATGATAAGCCGGAATCCCGAAGAGCAATTCGTCAGTTGATCAGTGATTTGTCGCTTGGAAGTTTAGAGACATTCCCACGATCGAGCGGCAGTGGCAGCGCAACAGATGGTTACAGTGGAACTTCAGGAAATGAGCTTGAAGTTTCTGAGGATGAGCCGGAGGAAGACAAGAAGATGCGATACAGGTGGTGCAGTTTGAGTGAAGCAAGCGATCCAGATTTTTGGATGGCAGTACATCATGGTGATTCGGCAAGTGAAGATGAGAAAGAAGCAGAAGAAGCAGAGAACACGACAGATCCAGTTGCAAGAGAAGAGACAGTGATTTCATCAAGTGAAGAACCAAAGCCAAGTGGATCGAAAAGATTCGAAGTTCCAGAACCGGAACAAGAGGAAAACATTACAGCAGTGCAGAATGAAAGTGTGCGGCGACGTGTGGCCTATGCCCGTGCACTTCGAGATGGTGATACAACTGCTGAACCAGAACAGGAAGATGGATGAGTGCATGTCACGACAACTGGACACTACGAATGAATTCAAAGTCCGAAGGAATGAGTGAACACGTTTCATAGCAATTTACATTCCGACCTTAGTCTGTGGTCACCTTCTTGATGGTGATGGAATGTACAGGAATGGAAAATCGAAAGACTCGAAATCTCGCCATTTCAATTTTAGGCGGGGTGTTAGAGTTTGTTGGATGAACTAGTATGTATAGAAGATGCAGTTTGCTAGTTGAAAACTACTCGTACTTCCGCAGCGCTTGAGTCCCAAAACAGGCGCGAGGGTTTGGGCTTCGCTATCTAACACAATGACTGAGGTGCTGCTCTCTGGGGCTGTTTGATTCCACTGGTCCAGTCTGAGCACTCACGTTCAAGTCATTGCTACTCAGGTTTCGTACTCGTTTTGAACTAGCCTAGTAGGCCGAGAGTCCATCTGGACTCAGCTTTGACCCATAGAACAATCACTCAGATGATCGACAGGTGATTGATTACGCCACTTGGCCCAAACCCGCCAAGCGAGCAGGGTGGCCAAACTCACGAGCAAACCCCACAAGCAGGTGGCGATCAAGTCGTCACCCATGAGGTTCACAAGCACCTGGGCAGTTTGAGGTGGAGCAGCTAATGTACAGGTCCACGCTTAACAGAAAACCAAACAAACCTCCCGAAGAACATGAGGCCCGAGATGGGAGAAACCTTCCTGCATGGAGTTTGATACCACCTTCAGGCGGAGATTGGTTGAACATCTAGGTAGGACTGCCATCAACACATATAGATAATACTAAAACATGTAACACTGTAACACTGTAACACTGTAAACAAAAACCTGCAGTGAGAGCAGGTGATTGGTCAGAAATAGTAGCCGAGCTGTCGCCCCAACCAGGTTTTCTCAGGAAAGCTTCGTTCCTTACCAATTGATACACTTTGTCCAATTGCCACAGAAGCATCGGTGACCAGGTTCACCGAAGGTCTCTCGCCTGCACCTGGGTTTTGGCCACTTCGGTTGGCAAAAATGCCGTCAGAGGTGCTATACGGATGAGGTAGAGACAGGCAAAACCAACACCACCTGCGCTGGGATTGGGAGGAGCCGAGGACGAGCTCGCGGCATCTGGAGCTAAAGAGCAACGAAACAATCCTCATCCTCTTCAGGGTGTGGCCGATCAGTGTGGGCTTGTATATGTTTGTATTCTCTGCAGATAAGCCACAACCAAGTTGGCCCCCAACACTGTGACCATGTTGTCCAAGCATCTGTTCTTCCTCAGGCACATGTGTTCCTCTAAGATTGATACGAGCTGCGCCGTTTCGATTTTTTCATCACAAGAGAGCAATATCCAGACCCGGAACCGACTGCCCTCCGAACATGCCAGAAAATAAGTCAGGCTCATAGACTTCTGCAGGATATGTTTTGACAGTTTTATAAGCAACTGCAATTTACTGGTGACATCCTTAATATTCCAGCCAACAAACTCGCTTCTGGTTTTTTTGTTTTCTGCCTCTGATCTAACTGACTCTTTGTTGAAACGATGTATATATATATATAACATATTTGGCTGACGCCTTCGTATCTTCAGATTAGCAGCTTCATTTCATGTTTGCTGATTCCTCCAAATTTGAAGAAAAGTGTCCACATGCTTTTGATCCGCAGCTCAGGCTTGAACAATGAGTTGCAGATATATTATCCTATGTAACCAAGGTCATACAATAATGTGCTATAGGAGTCCAAGGGCTCAAAGTGAAGGGGTCAAGATAATGCAAAGTTAGGATTGTTGCGAGTTAAAGCAGAATCCTTGGTTCTGCATCGACCCAGCAATGCCAAAGAAGTGGAGGGTGAAAGCGGGGCACAGAGCTTCTCCTGCCATTGCAGATGAGCAAGTCTCAGCAGATTGAAGGATTCGATTGTTTGCATGCCAAGGTGCGCCCCCCCTTGGTGTGGAGGCCGAAGCGCACAAAGCCTGCCTCGGAGGCCGACGGGATGCAGATCTTGCTTGAGTGACATTCACAATACTCAGGTCACACCATCCACTGCATATAGTCATATAGTTCTCACTGCTCACGGAGGTTCACTGATCCCAAAAGGGCTTTTACAATTGCCGCCCACGGAGGGTGGTTGATATACCTGGCTTTGTATACAAATGAAACGGTCTGTGACGCCTGCACCGAGGCAAGTGCGGCAAGTACAGAGGTCTCAAGTGAAGACCGTCCAGTTGTTGCAACTGACTCGGAGAGAAGCGACAGTGTCTGGAACCGAGCAAGGAATTGAGTGTTGTTGCCGCCATACTGATGCACACGTTGAAGATGTTTTCTTGCCTTGGATTCTTGATGGAAGAAGCTGTCAGACGGCCAAGTCTACTCTGAAAGAAACATGCCGTATTCCCTCGCGAGGCATTGAGTGAAGCAAGGAGGCAGTTGCAGCTAGCAATTGAAGCAGTATCTTGGCGAGCTATTTTCCCGACTGCAATGAAAACAACGAACGCAGCAAGTGATCTGTTTGTCAGTGACCTCTTCTCTTCGGCGCTATGAGTAATTGCCAGCAAGGCGGAGTCTTTCGTCCAGCAGAATCGCTATGCGCTGTTGCAGGAGCTCGCTTGCAAAGTAGTAGCTAGAAGCTACTAGTAACAAGGGCATTACTACTAGTAACTAGTAACGAGAAGCTACTGGTAACAACTTCATCGCTACTAGTAACAAGGCATTACTGCCAGGAGCACTTTCGAATCAAAACGTTTAACCGCTCCTACCATGATCAGGGCCAGTAACAGCGCGTTTGAGAGACGGGTTCCAAGCCATCTCAAGATCCACCTCAAACCAAATGATGCCAGTGTTTCATTTTCACTCTTGTTCTTGTAGCTTTGCGAAGCTGCGGAACATCACTGTTTTGCGAGGCACGATTGTAGGTGCTGACTGCTGCTCATGTGACTGTTTTGGGCGGGGTTCGGCCCCTTTGGATCCAATTCCACGCTCTTGGACGCAAATGTGGCCAAACAGTTGGATTGTGATTGGGGGCGAAGCAGTGGAAAGTCGGACAACTGTTGGTTTTCTTCCCAGCCTTGTGGAATGGCAGGATGAGGTGCAATCGCTGCTCACCTTGTGTGCCGTCCCTCAGGTCAGACGGTCTGGGGCTGTCTTTGAGGACCAAGCTGGAAAAGATGTTGAAATCAGGGTCACTTCTTGCGGATGTGTTTGGAATGGTAATAGTGAGAACTTTTTAAAGTCAAGATGATTCACATATCCATGTGCCAGGGCAACTTGCTGAGCCTTGCGCAGTGCCCATGATCACCCCTTTGGCCCGCAGTGGGTTGAAACCAGAAGATGTTCCAAGAAGTTCAGCGATTCTGCTGGTGAGTGGCCTTCATCACGAAAGGTAGCTTCGGCTACCTGGTCCTTGCTTTGACAAAGAAATGTTGTAAGGGCAAGCTTGTGGATTGCCATGAATAGGTCGGCTCCCTCCTCCAGTTTCTGGTTTTCCAGGTTAAGGGCTGATTTGGCCAGGTACAGCGGCATGAAGCTCAGCGTGATTTCCAACTCGGAAATCAGGTACCAAGGAATTCTCCACTCTATTTGTTGGGAGGACTGGATATGGTTTCACCACTTTATTAAATAAGGTTTTTCAATCAAGTGATGCTTGTACAACTTAATCTGAATATACCTTGCATTGGGGGGTGCATTTCTCTTTCGAGTTTATAAGTGGATCCATTTTACAAGGAGAAATCGATGACCCTGGAGACGGTGAGATGCTTCGGCACAGAGCAGAGGAAGGCGCCCAGGCCGAGCCCTGAGCGCCACGAGCGTCACGCCGAAGCGTCGCTGCGTCACGCCCCGCAGGTTTCGGTTTCCGCTGTGGAAGGGTTACCAAGAGTACGTTTCCTTTCCAGAGCAGGACCGGGGAGAGATGAACCGAGTCACAAGCATGAAGTGTATCAAGGAAAAGAGTTCCAGTATTCCAACGGACAGTAGGGAGACCAGTTTCTAGCCTGGAGTTGCAAGTCTTTATATACTATATATTGATGCAGGTTCCTCTGATTGAATGTGTTTTGGCAGCGCATGTGTGCCGAACTGCAACATCTCTCATTTCGTGAGGATATCAAAAGCATCAGCTTTGATGGCGAAGGCTCCAGTATCAAGGTGCCTAGGATGGATGGACTGGGATCAGTGTTGCGAGGAGGAAACACCAACTACCACAAAGTCATAAAACATCATCACCGCTCTCACTCTCTCTCACTCTCTCATTCTCTTGCTCTCTAACTCTATCTATCTACCTATCTACCTATCTATCTATCTATCCATCTATCTATCGCTATATAACATATATCTATATCTCTCCCTCTCTCTCTCTCTCTTTTCTCATCTTTCTGGTTCATGCTACATTTTTGTGTTCTTTGGAGACGCAGTCTTGCACCTCTTGTACCTCAGGACGAACCCCCGTTATCCTAAATTGCAGCTGGTGACCAGCTGGTGCAGCCTATCCCAAGCATAAATGTAAAAGCCACTTGATGTTGTTTGGATCATCCCAAGTAGAAGCGCTTAATAAACCAGAGTACGGGACACCCAGAAAACAACTCAAATTGGCTTACACCTTGGCTATGATTTCTGAGGCCAGTTATAACATTGAGACGTGTAAGTAATTCTTTGACATGCTTTTCTATTTGGGGCTGTTGCTTCCATCCTAGCAGCAACTCAATTCCTCCCCGCCCACACCCACACACACATACTTATTTGCTCTTTTTTGCCACAGACTTTTTGTCAATTGTCCCAGGTTTGGCCACCTCAAAATCCAATTCGAGTGAGACAATGCCTCACATCAGCGAAAAGTGAGCTGCACAGCACCAAACTCAGCAAGGGGAACCGGGCTGTGGATGGGATGAGCATACGTCCAAGTGACTTCAATTGAATGCAAACATTGGGGACATGACATTTCTGTCAATCTAGGCTTGCAGTTTTGAGCTGAGGCATTGTCAAAGACAAGGAGGCTGTAATCAAAGTAATGTTACACTTGATTCGTTGCAACTATCCTTCGGGGCCGTGGTTGTGTCACACTCCCTAGTGCGATCAGAACCTGGTTGCGCTTACCCATGCTACGGAAACGAAAGTATGAGCTACGGAGTATGACCGTCGGTCCGAGCCTGTACCGGAATCGCAGGCGGGGCCTGAAGAGAAGCTTGCTTGCTTGAAGACATTTGCGGCACGGGTGCCCAGCGGCGGGCCATATTCAGGAGAAACATGAATGATGAACATATTGTGCAGTAGACCCCAACAGGTTTGGAGAGCATGTCTCCCATGTATGATGAATATAAATATTGACAGATGTTTTGGGCCAGATCCGCGTTCATTGTTGCCATTCCAAACTTCTTTAAGTAGTGGCAGATCCGTTTGCAGCCAACCATCCGTTTTTGCAGATGAACTTGGATCACGACGAGGCAAGCGGAAAGCTGCGAAGAGCTTGCGAATCCGGGGCCATTCAAAGTATGTTCACATGTGTATATAGCGTTTTCTAATTGAATGATATAATTTAGATTAGATTGTAACTCGTCAAAAGTTTGCGAAGGCATTTGTGTGATACATTATGTGTGGCGAAGGCTCGCGAAGCCTCTGGCGTAGGCAAAGCCAATTCGCGAAGGCTAACTTATATATATATATATGTAGAGTGTGTAAAGGTTGCAAAACTAATTCCAATTCGCAAAGCCTTTGGTGTTGCGCGAAGCCTCGCGAAGCCTCCCTTCCCACAAATTCTGACCCTGCGAAACCCCCAGCGTAGGCAACTCAGCAGTGTATAGGCACCTTACCTTTTAGAAAAACACGGCTCACATGCCCTGGCTACCATGTTTGTTCATAGATATGCAGAAATGCTTCCCCTACAGTACCTGCTTGTAGTCAGCCCTTTGGTTCCAGTCATTTCCTTCTGCCTGGGCGTTAACTCTGAATGCCTTGTAGGATTTTGAAAGGTCTGTTTTGCTTATGTTGACAGAGGAGTTTTACCAGACTTTTATAGTTGATTCCAAGGACTGCCACTCAATTTCCCTGATTTACTCGTAGCATTTTAGCTAACGAAGCTTACATAAGAAATATAAGTGCTTTAGTCTAACATGCATAGAACAAGACATGGCCAGCTCGGAGGTGCTGAGCCTCGAAGACAAGGACTGAGGGCTCGGTTCATTTTGCCAAATTTAGGCTATGCTGGCGCTGGCGCTTCCTTCTTCCCACCCAAGCTATGACTGCTAAGTGGCTGAAGCTAGCCTGTACGATGATCCATTCAATGCTATGAGAACATCGATCGTTGTGGGTTCTTTCGCAGCAGTTTTGGGTTTTGCACAAGACTGTGTTGAGTGCAGGACTTTTTTATGGACTCGGTCCTTAAATTGGAGGCCAGGCTGAGCGACTGACTTTCTGACACTATGGTATATCGATATGGGGCACGGGTGGTGCGCCGCTGAGACACGGGTCGACATTCACAAAGGCTGTGGTCTGATGAATGTCATATGTTCCCTGGCCCATGGATTTCGATGATTTGGGGGAGTGGTGTTTCTAGACTCTTCTTGTGTGAATGTCATTGTGGACAACCCATTGTCGCTATGACCCATAGATGGGACCCTTTCGAAGGTTGCTTGCTTTCCAGGTGGGTCAAGCTCCGAAAACAACACACACACACACACTGTTCACTGTTCACAGAAAAATCTGGATCAGGCACGCATTTGCCACGACTTGAGAACTTGTTGGCTGGCTGGGCTCAAGAACCTTGCCAGGCCGAGCGCTTTCGCTTGGAGGATGCTCGGATGCGTGCGCACACCCAGGCTAAGAGGTTGCATCTCAAGCAGTTTGGAGGGAAGACTTGCTTGAACTAGGTTGGGTTTCGTAGCCCCGAACTTGGCTCAAACCTTACATCTCGCAGGTGAAGCAGCTGACAGAGCTGCAGAAGGCTCGCGCGTGCGTGGACTTGTTATTTATGTGTCGGACAGTTCTAGAGCTCAAGGTGAAATGTCATGGTCTTCGGTGGTGATGCCGTGTTTGGGGGTTTTGCTGTTAGCAGTCGATGGCCAAATCACACATGGAGATGGGAAAATATCGAGCCCTGAAGAATCCCTCCTGTTCTTTCCTGTGGAGGTTTGTTCTTTTTTTTGGGTCAAGAAACTCTTCTGCCTGGACCGTGCCATCCGGGTCTATACCTGGTCATTTCTTCATGACACTGGGGGGACCCCAGCCATTCCGATGGCCAGGCACGGAGCTGGAGGAGGAGGAGGAGGAGCGCAGCCAGGCACCATATATGGACCAGCAGATGAGACTGCACCAACACCCAATGAAGCACTTGTTCCAAGAAACAAAACGTCCCGGGAAAGATGGCTGGAGACGCACGAAGGCCGAGGTGATCAGGTCGGACTTGGGTGGGGATCTTGAAAGGTGAAGTGAACCGTTCCCTCCCATCGCGGACTGGCAGACAGCTGCATCTTGCGTCCAATCAACTCTTTCAGGAAGTGGACGAACAATATGATGTCTGACATGTCATTTACCAGTCACGACTAGGTATGTTGGAGCGATCATCTCATAGCATTTCTTCCTTTTACCAGGAAATCTACCTTGTTTGCAGTCAGTATGTCTTCCTTCTATCAGGAAGTCCCCACTCATATGTATATACAAAATACATATATATATATATATGAATGGTACACCCCAGAAAACCCCATTGAAGACATAATTGAGAAGAATTTAAAGAAAAGCAAGCGGGTACCCCTCCTACTTTGCAATCACTTGCTTCCGTGCTAGCCTTTGAGCCGTTTCCGTTTCCGTTGAACAACTCACACGAAGCGGCGCGCCCGCACTGTAGGCAAAGTTGAGTATTTGGCAATGCTGCGCCTCTTGGTGGCACCAGGGTTCCCATCAAAACCCACAATCCGATGTTTGCTTCAATGTAGCTCAAAGCTTGAAGCCTCCACGACTGACAGGTTCCTAAATTGAAAGCGAGGTGCAGGGTATGTGGCGGTGCAAGGAGTCTTGTGATTGGGATGAGGTGCAGATCAAGGAGGTGGTCCATGCGGTTGGGCAGCTTTTGTCCTCCAACAAGAAGGCTGATTGTCGATTCAGCCTGGCACTTGACATCCCTGTGAGCCTTGCAGGTCCGGCACCTCATTGTGCACGAGCCTTTGATTTCAAGTTATGGTGAGGACCTTTGGCTGAGGCAGGACTTCTTCGATCGTCCGAAGGCAGTCAGTTCAGCAGCTTGTGCCAATTGGCTGGTGTATGGTGTTGCAGATAGGTCTAAAGGCCAGTTGTTGAACATCACGATTAGCTGCTCCCCTTTGTTTTTGACCATTGCAGAACCTTTGCGCAGCATGAACACACACCTACTGAAGTCAACTGCGCTGAAAAGAGCGTTGTGCTTTGTGGAAATTAGAGGGCACTATGGTAGGCTGCTTGTACGAATAGGAGGCTTGTTAGCCCACTTTTCGCCCAATGATTGAAAGCTCCTTCCTGTGGAACACCTTGAACAATGTATAGGACGAAGGCCTGCCTACCTGCTTCCATTCAAGGAGTTTGGATTGGACGCAGCAAGTGCCTAAACATATGTCATGTTTGCATGGTAGCGTTCACTGGTCATACCCAGGCCTTGCAGAAGGGCGTGGATCGGGGCGCCTTTTGCCGTCATTGGGCGCCTAGCGGAGGATGGCTTCAGTCGAGGAGCTGGCAGCGGCGCTCCAACAACTGCAGCAACAGGTCGTGGCCACCCAGGCGGACAATCAAGTGTTGAGGGAGCGGCTGGCGACCTACATGCCGCGCTGTCTCCCCAACACAGCGCTGGTGGCGTGGCGCTAGAGAGACGATGCAAGCGCCCCGTCCTCCTGGAAGTGTTGGGAAAGCTGTCCAAATCCAAAGGTCTCTACGACGCCTCAAAACTAGACTAGGGAAGCCTTAGGTCCTTGGAGCTGACGCTGACACGGGTTCAGGCCTGGGAGGGAAGAGTCGAGCGTGCGCAGTCGGCAGGAGGCATGGACACTGAGACCACGGTGGGATGACATTCGTGAGTTCAACAAGCTCCACAGTGTCAAGGGCGATGACAGAGGGCATTCCGTTATAGTTACGCGGTCGTTTTGACCCTCGTGCTCAGGACATGGCAGGTGAGAGGAGAAGAAGGACGACCTTCATCTTCGAGTTGCCCGGTGTGCGCTTTAGACGATGAGGGCGATCAGGGGGCTGGAGCAGAGCTCCGTGAGCCGGAGGATGAGGTTGAGGTGCACGAAGCAAGGCCAGTGCGGCCAGGGTGTGCCCTGAATGCATTCAGGCGATGGACCATGCCAACAGCATAGACGCGCCCATCGTGAGGATGAGAGGGCGAGCACGGTGGTCTTGGACTACTTCTACCTCAATGAGGAGCACAAGGTGAGGCCACACCTTGTCGCGCAATTCAAAAACGATGGGGAACACTCCCTGGTGAAGATGAAGAAGGCTGCAGGTCAAGATGCGAAGAACCTGACCAAAGTGATTTGTGAGGAGAGTCCGGCAGGAGACTCAAAGGTGAATAATTTGAGTTTTGGAGCTTGCATGTTGGTGTCGCTTCAGGCCGCTGCAGGGTGCTGCTGCCAGATGTTGATGGCAGTGTGCGATTTTGAGTGTGGGTGCTGGTGTCACGTTTCCCACAAATATTTGGGGTCTATGTTGGGGGAGTTGTGGTTTTAGCTTTTGGTGCGTTTGAAGTATGCTTTTATGAACTCAGCTGGATCATTTTGTAAATTTTGTACTTGCTTGTTAGTTCGTTAGTTCGTTTGCGTAAGTTGCCTTTCTGTTTTTGGTTTGGGTCACTTCACCGTGCGCGCTGCTCCACATTTGATATCTTTGATATCCATCAAAGCCCGCGGCCTACTGCAGCTGCAGTGGCTGCACCATCTGCAGGCCTTGGCCTTTCCCTGAGCAGGATCCACGCGCAGGACACAGGCGAGTGCAAAGGCCAGGCAAGATCTTATACATCATGAGGTTCATCTTAGACACAGTGCGGAATTCACAGACCTTATGCCTTATGCCTTGAAGTTCCTAGACAAACGATGTTTTGTGCAAAACCTTTAGATTCATCAAAGGCTTCCCAAACACTTGCAAAAACGCAGAATATTGCAGAATGACCGGATGATTCTGAGCCACAAGAAACGCCTTTGCAGTTATGGATCTTCCAATGCCGGTGAGTGAACTCAGTGATTTTGTCAAGGCTCCACAGCTTTGTTGGCCCACCAACGGTATTTGGTTGCACTGGGGTTAGCATTCTTCAACATTGTGAATTATCACTGGTTTCTGAAAGCAATTGACAGTCTGTTGACAATGCTTCATGCCCCTTCTGGATCATTCCGCGATGCATCAAGGCAAAGAAGTCTACGTTTCTTGCCGCCGGTAGTGAACAGTTGGCGGCGCTCGCAGAAGCGGGATTTGTAGATTCTCGCAGTTTCTCCTGGCAATAAGCGACGAACAACGTCGTGGCTTGTTATTGCGTTTAGTCTAGAGTCTTGATTGTTTGAAGCAGTTTGAAGAAAAAGAGGGCTTGGCAAAGGCTCAGATGTCCCTCTGGGTCGGGGTGCATGTGTCATGAACCCCGCAATCCTCAGTGAGGTCACATCGACGCATTTATCCCAATGCCGACGAGCTTTCCAGTTTTCTGAAGGCGATAGCTACTTAGCTTCCTATACTCCCTTTGCTATCCTGTTCACGCGCAGTGCACATTAGTCTAAATGTATTACTGTATCGTTTGCCAGGCATGTATACGCATGTAGGGAACATGCATTTCTTTCAAGATTCTGAGATTGTTTCACTGTTTCACGGCTCACATGCCCAATGATGCTACAGTTCGAGGGCCATCCTGGCATGCCTGCTACAAGGGTGTCAAGTATCAATCGGTGTGTTTTGTTGAATATCAGTTTCGTGCGAATATTCGTTTCGTTTGTCGGTATTCAAAGTTTGAACACGACAAGCACGATCAACCATAGTAGATAGTTGAGTTGGTCATGGTTCTTTACATCCGATGCGTGGTCACTCCCGCGGTGTCGATGGATCAAGGGAGCTCCGAATCTTGGGATCATGGGTTCTGCGGCGAGCGTCGACAAAGAGGGCCGCGAGGCTGATTGGAGGGATGCACCAGAGCTTTTCAGGATATGTTGATTCCTGTTCTGCACACATGTGAACATTTGTGCAAAGCTAAGTTCTTTTCATGACAGGTGTTGAAGAGAAGCATCTATGCAGCAGCGGCTGTTGTGGTTCAGAAGAAGGAGAATGAGAGTGGCTCACCCCCAAAGAATGACGACGGGACAGCTACTGACCAAGGTCTTGCTGCAGGAGACGTGCGCAGTTTGTCGAATTGTTGGCAGTGTCAAAATGTGAATGATGCACAGTTGTAACTGCAATGCGCAGGAGGGTGAGTTGGAAAGAAAGACGAAGGAGTTCAAGAGAAGTTTCACCCAATTCTTGCGCTGGTGGCAATGTCCTCTCCCTTCAGCTTATGAGCTGGAACGCAAGATGCGGAAGATTTCGGAGGACCAGGCTGGAACGCATGGGTTGGGACAGGGGTGTTTTGCGATGTACGCATTTCCGACCTCACGCCTTGTGTGCATATGAAGAAGTAACTACAGTACTCAAAGCAGTAGCAGTAGCAGTAGCAGCAGCAGTAGCAGCAGCAGCAGGAGGAGGAGTAGTAGTAGTAGTTGTTGTTGTTGGACTCATTCATTGCTACATCAGCTGCATCAACAGGTCGCAACATGGATGATGTTTCATTGTGATCAGGGATGGGTTTGCTTCAATTGTGGCAGAATAGGCAAGTTGGACACCGATGTCAGCTTTTTCTAGCATTGCCAGGGAGAGAGCTAAGAACAAGGCACAGGACTGAGCCTTCACAGAGCTTCATGGATTCCGAAGGACTGACTGACAAGAGAACCGGTTTCAATCGATGAGGATGAGTAGGCAGCGATGGCAGCTATTCCTGTTGGGGCAGCATCTGCTTATCTGCTCCCCTTTCTATCCCTTTTCTATCTAAGCCACCCTCGAGCTACCCCTTGCTTCTAGGAACCGAGTCACTGTTTTTTCTCAACGAGGCTTAGTCAGGAAGCTTCTCCCCTTGCAGCCTAGAAGGAAATACAGCATCTACAAGCTTAACTACGGGCCAGCTTGGACCGCTTTGAAGTGATCCTCATCCGACAAGTTGTACAGGAATTCATTGTCCATGTCTTCGACTTGTGAGCACAATGACTTGGCAGTGTTGGTTTGGCATGACATCATCTGAGATTGGCACATATGGTTGTGAGAACTGAGTTGGTTGTGTCATGGCCAAACGTTCTGACCTCCGACACCGAATCAGGAACGGAGCAGAAAGACACGGTGTTTGACACGAGAGAGCATTCAAACGCAGCAAAGGGAAAACCATGCGAAGTAACAAGAAGCTAGGAGCAAGGACGCTGCTAGGGGCTCCTGGCCGTACTACTAGGAGCATTCTTGCTACTAGTAGTGGGCGAAACGTTCATGACATTCTCCGCCTTGGCGGACGTTCGATTGCACACAACATCTGCAAGTTTTTGGCTCCACAACCAGCAAGACAATGGAGGGAGGGCGTTAGTTCTAGGTCAGTCCATGGGTTCTGTCAGTTGAAAGATCCTTTGCGGCCTTTACGCCTGCTGGTCAAGTTTTTGACAGGCAGCTGTCTCCATCCTGCTAACAGTTTCCACAGAGATCAAGGCTCAGCCATCCATAAGCGGGCCGATGGCCGGCATGGTGGAATTCCTAGATGACCTTCAGAATCCACAAGCTTGCAGGGTCAGACAGCGCTTGCTGGAAGAGCTGGAGGCTGGGATCGACTGCAGCCTGTGGGCTTGGCTCCAGTGTGCCATAGAGAGTTTTGCGCTTGCGGAGTCTTCTTTTTCCAGTTTACCGTCTTTTCAGTTCAAAGCAAGGTGGTGGAGTTTTGTTTTGTCCGCAAGAGCTTGAACCAACCAACCCACTCAGATCGGACCGATGCACCTGCAGGTGGAGCGGAAGGAACTCAGCGAGAGCAGTTCTTTGCACCTTCTGGGGCCAGCTCGCCTGATGCGGCCCCCTGGCCAACTGGAGTGGATAAACACCCAGTGTCAGAACTCTTGGTAAGAATACGGAGAATTTGAGTCAATAAATCTGTGAAAGAGTCTGTTGAGTTGCTATAGCTACTATAGCTCTTGCTTTCATGCTACAGCAACTGGCCCCCTTTTTTGCTCGCTTGGATTTCCCTACAAGTGGACCTTGCAAGCCAGATTCAACGGAAGACTTCCAGGGGTAGCGGCGCTAAGGACCTGGTAAAGCACCTGTTGCGGCCCTAACTCGAAGACGTGAATCGCCTGTGATCCAGACTAAACCCCCCAGACTATGCATCCACTGAATGAAGTGGCAAAAAACCAGCAGAAAACAAGCACTTGACACTCAGAAGGAGCACCCCCCAGGCTCCATCATCCCACTAAAACGAATATCCTGGCCGCCAACAAAATGCGGTTGCTCCCTCAGCTATCAGGACCGAACAGAGCCATAAGTGTCCTCACTGGCGCGCCAAGGTTTCTGCAAGCCAACAAGGGTTCAGTGGAGGAAGCAGCTGCTCATTTCCGCCGGATGCTGGCATGGTACCGAGAGGCTGTGAACCTTGTGCTTGTGGTGTCTATTCTGTTGCCAAAAGGCTACCCAGGCCAAGAAAGAGCTTTTTTGGGCATGTTCCAGAGGGAGCCGTAAGCTTGGGCTGTCATGGTTTGAAAGAGAAGCATTTGCATTCTTGGAACATGTTGAAGGGGAAGTGTTGTGCTGAGCTTGCTCCACCAGCTCCTTTCGAACTTAAGGAAGGCACAAACAGGTGTGCAGCCGAACCGAGTTCCTCTGTAGCACGTGAACTTGCGACCGCCAAAAGGTTTTTGACAAGAATGCAGTTGTCGGAGTTGTCGGTCAATTCAAACAGATGCACATTCTTTCTTGCGAATGTACCGGTGCAGGCAGACATCGGAAAGACGTGCTTTGATGTGGAAGGCAAAGAGTGGAGTGCAGATTTCGTTGAAGGTGGAAGAGAGCTTTTGCACATGATGTGCATTGATGTTTGCATGCAAGCAGCTGATGGAACAATGCCGCTTCGGCGTGGATCTGGTGAATTCCCGTAGATTGTTCAGAGTCCATGATCGGCAGTCGACCTCCAACACGGTAGCTCTTTCTTTTACAGTGACTCTCGTGTAAAACAAGTGAACTTTGAGGCTTTGGGTACACAGAGATGGCCTGATTCAGTTTGATGAGATCATGGGTCTGCCTGATGAGGAGTGCGGATAGGGGGACCTTCCAACTTCCAGCCAGTGGAGACTGTCGAAAACCCGAAAGCCAGGGGGTCGACAAGGGGGTGTCGTTGCCGAATAAGCAGGAAAGACTTGTACTCATGCACTTTTGTCAAGGACTTCATCCTGCGGATGTGTCTCCTCTGTGGCTTGGTTTTCTGCATCAGCCTGATCATTCGTTCCAGGAGATTAGCATGTATGCATGATCACATGAAGGTCTTGTGAAACTGCCGGTGTCACTCGACTCTCACTACGATATGCCATCGAAGGCAATGGCACGGTACATTCAAATACTGGACATTCTCTTTAGATTGATTGTCAATGTTTGCACCATTTTGCACCCGAAGCACGCCAACCTGATGTTGGGTTTCTCAAAAGCTTCTAGCAGCTTCTTGTTCCTAGTTGTACGGCCAGGAGCCCGAGTAGCGTCCTTGTTCCTAGTAGCGATGCCCTTTGCTCCTCGTAGCGTTACTTGCTAAGGTGAGTCAATGCAGATCTACCTTGACCATCGCAGTGAGGAAACTGGCCGTTTAGTCAAGATGATTCAGGCAGGGAGTGTAGCAGCTACAGCGTGCCAGCTCTGCCAAGTGCTCTTCTTTGTGGAGCTCACGTTCAGCTTGGCGTTCACTTTCAGCCGCCAGGTCCGCGACCTAAAGGGCTTCAACATCACCGAAGTCCTGTGGAACCCTGCGGCGATGAAGCGTAGCGTGGCCGCTTTCGGCAAGCCTTCACAGCGTTTTTTCAATGTTTAGGGAGATGACACATAGAATGGCATACCCATGCTAAGAAAGTGTACCGTAAGGTTTTGTTGATGCAGCAGCGATCTTGGAGACGGCGTATCCGGAGACCTTGGCGCAGATGATCATTGTGAACCCTCCTTCAGGTGTTTGGATTGCAGGGTGAGAAGCCTTGTTTTCGCAGAAACTGTTGCATTGATTGATTGTGAAAAGAGTTTCAGGCTGCAAATCCAGGCGGTTGCAACATGTGTTTGATTGTGTACTAGCAGAGCACAAAGTTCAAAAGTTCACAACAGTTTTTTCCCGAAAGCATTGCGAAGGGTTCTTCCGGAAAATCCCTTGAACACTGACACTTCGACACTTACACTTACACACTGACACTTCCACCACATTCGCACCACATACACCGACACTTCGACACTGACACTTACACATACACACTGACACTCGGCAAGCGCGCAGTGTAAGTAAGCAAGTGATGGGTACGCAAGCATGCAATGAGCATGCAAGCATGCAATGAGTAGGTACGCAAGCATGCAATGAGTAGGCAAGTATGAGTATGGATATGGAAAACTAGCACGGGAGATGTCCTAATGAAAAAACATTTCCCCACTTTATAAATTTTCTCTTAAAGGCGGAGGGCGGGACGAACAGCGTCAACCGAAAGTGCAACCCTCTGCGGAGAACGTGCGTGTCGAGTGCGCGAAATGCAGGCGAGAGTGCGATTTGCCGG